TAACTTTTTTTTTGTGTAGAAGTATAAAAATGTTTTGGAAGAATTTACCAGGCCTTGGTCTTAAGACTATTGAGAACCACTGCTCCAGCTAACATGTCCACTACATATCATTCAGCATTTATGAAATCACAGCCTTGTGCAACAATCGCACCAATTGTGGCCTGTACAAACCAGACTTTTGGGGCTCCATTGAAAAGGTAGTGGTATGGCTGTGAATAAAATGTAAGCTGTAGTGTGGAATTAATGCAATGTCCAACAAACATTAGATAATATCCACTCTGTTTTAAATTGCCTCCTTATGCAGGCCATACATACAGTCAGGTCCATAAATATTGGGACATCGACACAATTCTAACATTTTTGGCTCTATACACCACCACAATGGATTTGAAATGAAACGAACAAGATGTGCTTTAACTGCAGACTGTCAGCTTTAATTTGAGGGTATTTACATCCAAATCAGGTGAACGGTGTAGGAATTACAACAGTTTGCATATGTGCCTCCCACTTGTTAAGGGACCAAAAGTAATGGGACAATTGGCTTCTCAGCCGTTCCATGGCCAGGTGTGTGTTATTTCCTCATTATCCCAATTACAATGAGCAGATAAAAGGTCCAGAGTTCATTTCAAGTGTGCTATTTGCATTTGGAATCTGTTGCTGTCAACTCTCAAGATGAGATCCAAAGAGCTGTCACTATCAATGAAGCAAGCCATCATTAGGCTGAAAAAACAAAACAAACCCATCAGAGAGATAGCAAAAACATTAGGCGTGGCCAAAACAACTGTTTGGAACATTCTTAAAAAGAAGGAACGCACCGGTGAGCTCAGCAACACCAAAAGACCCGGAAGACCACGGAAAACAACTGTGGTGGGTGACCGAAGAATTCTTTCCCTGGTGAAGAAAACACCCTTCACAACAGTTGGCCAGATCAAGAACACTCTCCAGGAGGTAGGTGTATGTGTGTCAAAGTCAACAATCAAGAGAAGACTTCACCAGAGTAAATACAGAGGGTTCACCACAAGATGTAAACCATTGTTGAGCCTCAAAAACAGGAAGGCCAGATTAGAGTTTGCCAAACGACATCTAAAAAAGCCTTCAAAGTTCTGGAACAACATCCTATGGACAGATGAGACCAAGATCAACTTGTACCAGAGTGATGGGAAGAGAAGAGTATGGAGAAGGAAAGGAACTGCTCATGATCCTAAGCATACCACCTCATCAGTGAAGCATGGTGGTGGTAGTGTCATGGCGTGGGCATGTATGGCTGCCATTGGAACTGGTTCTCTTGTATTTATTGATGATGTGACTGCTGACAAAAGCAGCAGGATGAAATCTGAAGTGTTTCGGGCAATATTATCTGCTCATATTCAGCCAAATGCTTCAGAACTCATTGGACACGGCTTCACAGTACAGATGGACAATGACCCAAAGCATACTGCAAAAGCAACCAAAGAGTTTTTATAAGGGAAAGAACTGGAATGTTATGCAATGGCCAAGTCAATCACCTGACCTGAATCCGATTAAGCATGCATTTCACTTGCTGAAGACAAAACTGAAGGGAAAATGCCTCAAGAACAAGCAGGAACTGAAGACAGTTGCAGTAGAGGCCTGGCAGAGCATCACCAGGGATGAAACCCAGCGCCTGGTGATGTCTATGCGTTCCAGACTTCAGGCTGTAATTGACTGCAAAGGATTTGCAACCAAGTATTAAAAAGTGAAAGTTTGATTTATGATTATTATTCTGTCCCATTACTTTTGGTTCCTTAATAAGTGGGAGGCACATATGCAAACTGTTGTAATTCCTACACCGTTCACCTGATTTGGATGTAAATACCCTCAAATTAAAGCTGACAGTCTGCAGTTAAAGCACATCTTGTTTGTTTCATTTCAAATCCATTGTGGTGGTGTATAGAGCCAACAATGTTAGAATTGTGTCCATGTCCCAATATTTATGGACCTGACTGTAGTTCGAATTCCGAACGATTTTTCGTCCAAAAATCGGTAATCTGATTGTGCCATGAATACTTTTGAAAATAAGCCGACCAAGTCATAAAGTTCACCCCATATAACAGGCAAAACTTCTGTTCCTTCCAGATCACGGCTCAAGCGCATATTCTTGGCAGAACTCCGATCGTACGATTTGACCATTATCGAGTCAAAAATCGGTCGTTTTTCACGAATTTTCCAACATGCCCGATCACCGAAAAGGGGAGGAATCACGAAAATTGGCTGGTACCATTGACCCACTAACAGAGCGAAAATTGGCTGATTATTCTTAGGTCCGATATTTGAATGAAAAATCGGTCGAATTTCGACTCATGTATGGTCGGCCTTAGTGTTACCCAAATGATCTGCACAAACCAATTTGCAGGTGTGTGTCCTGATTAGCATTAAAAAAAGGCACCATTCTGGGGTATAAAAGAGCGAGCAATTAGTGTCTACCCTTCTGGGCCCAATCTCTCCATCAGCCAGGTTGTGTTCTCAATTCAATCAGTAAGAGGAAAGAGCTTCTGAAGTCGAATTGATTTTAATATTTAAACACTTTTCTAACTTTCATTTGTTACAAGGGTACGCATTTTATTTTGCAGGAGTATGCATTTTATTTATTCTACTTTTTCCTGCGTCTTTCCAGTAAAAGTGAACCTTTGTCCAGCCACAGTAGAAGCATTTCCATCTTTCTCAACAAGCAGTAAAAGTTCTTTAAAACAAGCCCTGTAACTATAGGTATTGTGGGAAAATCATTTTCAAATTTCACAAGAACAGAAATCCCAGCTGTCCTTTGAGGAGTAATTATTTCACAGTACAAGTAGCTAGAGAAGTAAGTGATGGCTAGTTTTAAAAGCGCTTTAACTGCTTGTTAAGAATATCCAGAAAAAAAAAATAAAAAATTAATGTGCTTAGTCTGCGCAATAGTAAATGCCCAACATCAAAAATACATGTATTCTACTCTTACAAAATTAAAAGACCAACTGAATGTTTCTTTAAAATCTATAAAAATTAGGTCAGCTTGGTTCTTGTTCTACTGTTTATTCTTCTTATAGTGCTTCCTCTGCAGGAAAGTGTGTGAGTGTAACAGTACAAACCCCCCCCCCCCCCCCCATCACCACTACAGCATTGCAATAAGCAGGAAGCATGAATGTTGCAGATTGCCGCCTTGTAGTGTTGATAAGGCAGGGGATGTTGAAGCAACTACAACTGGGCTTTAAACCTCTGTCTCCACAAAAGATGTATAACCAGCTAGACAAAACAAATGTGAAGTTACTTGGTGCAAGACAGGCACATAACCACTTGTCTGCCGAGCACGTTCAACCCCTTCCTGCCTAGGCCAATTTTCAGCTTTCAGCGCTGCCGCACTTTGAATGACAATTGCGCGGGTCATGCAACACTGTACCCATATGAAATTTTTATAATTTTTTTGATAGAGCTTTCTTTTGGTGGTATTCAATCACCACTGGGTTTTTTTACTTTTTGCTAAACAAACCAAAAACAACTGAAAATTTTTGAAAAAAAAAATTCTTAGTTTGTTATAATATTTTGTAAATTAGTAATTTTTTCTCCTTCCCTGATGTGCGCTAAATGAGGCTGCAGTATTGGGCACTGATAGGCAACACTCGTGGGCATTGACAGGCAGGTGGCACTGAAAGTTGGCACTGAAAGACAACTCAGATGTGCACTGGTAGACACTGACAGGTGGCACTGATGGGCACTGATGCCCTGATGATCAGTGTAGATGTCCCCTCTGAGGAATGCAGATTACCAGCTCTCCTCTCCTCACGAGTTGTCTGCGTGACAGCTGGTGAGGAGAGGAATGCCGATAACTGGCATTTCCTTATTTACATGTGATCAGCTGTGATTGGACACAGCTGATCACATGACTGAGCTGAAGTCATTGGCTCTTTCCGCTGATCGGTGATCAGCTATGTCCCCGGGATACAGCACGCCACTGATTGCCGCGCTGGCGCGGTTAGAGTGGGAGGACATCATATGACGTCCTCCCAGAATGAGAGAACCAGCTCCCATCCGTCATTTCCTTATATGGTGAACAGGAGGGGGTTAAACAGCCTTTTTTCTTGAATATGAATGTGCTGTTATAAGCCTAGTAAAATATTTATTTGGCATGTAAGTAACAACTGCACATGTAGACTGGGTTAGCTATAGATTTGCCTTTACATTTATGCACGGTGCTCCCTCCTTAGCTGTCCAGCACACTACTACTGCTATTATTTCAGAGTGTTCCTAGACCGACTCCATAATGTTTCATTGCTCACAATATATTCTTTAATTTGATATTGACTTTTTCATAGCATTTTAGCAAAAATACAAAATTGCATTGTCGGATATACAGACAGCCATGCAAAGGGAGAAACTGCAAATGCCATGATGAGAACATGATGGAAGTCATATTACTTTTATGTAGCCTTTAAAATAACTCAGACCATATGTTTTTGAAAGTACAAAAACCACCAGAACAACTCGCACATGTAAGTTTTGTTTTTATTCATGGATTCTTACAGTATGGGATATCAAAAATCCTCACAAAATAAAGGTGATTTACTGAAAACTGCTGTCCCTCTGGGTGATCTGATCTATGACTCCGATACTGCTGAGAACTTTGCTTTATCAAATGTTAAAAAGGAACATAAAAACAAACATGCATACACATGTACATTTTGTGTTTCCCTTAAATCAGAGGTCTAGGTCACCATGATGGGAAGCACTACAAAAATATTTAAATACACATTTAAATAACGTGTAAGGGGAGTGCTTCTCTGTAGGATCCCATAGAGGAGGGTTACCAGGCAAATGTAACTAGGCTCATCCAGATTTCATCAACTGCTACCTTGAAACAGCTCCTGTCCTATGTCTGAAGTGGATTGGGGACAAACAGAGGGAGGCAAATAATAAGCATTGCTGGTTATGGTACTGAAAACAAATATGTAGGTAAGGCCGATTTCCTGGATATCCCTTGGCGCTGCTTGCAGGCAGTAGAAAGAAGGTGCCTAAGCCTCTAATTCCAGACCCAAGCCAAGTTTGTGGCCACCAGCATTAATGTTCTTTCCATCTACCAGCGCAGAGAGCGTCAATTTCACCCCTGATTAAACAAATGAAAAAAAAAAAAAAAAAAACAGTCAGATGCCATACAAAAACATAGAACTAAGGAGCAAAAGCTGGTGTCTATGGGCAACATCTCCACTTCTCCTTTTCCTCCCATTTCACATGTGTTTAACAAAAAATAAATAATTACAGAATAACAAATAATTACGGGATAAACCATAAAAGAGTATATTAATGGTTATAGGTAATTGTTCCGTGTCAAATGTGTATTTATGCTTCTGTGGCTGCAAATGTGTGCCCAGTAGTGCCATGCAATCTTAGGACAGAGCAGGTATGTGCAACATATCATTTGAATCTCTGTCCTTCTAGCTGACCAGAAGGTTGGAGATGAACAAAAGAGATATCCCAACCTTATTCATAGTAAAATCTAACCAAGTCTGAGGCATTCTTATAGCGGTTATTTGAATACAAAAAAGGGTTTTCATATTCATGCCCTATTGGGAAACATTACAGTAGACAGAATTCATAACATATTCCTTGTAAACGTTTTACATGGGCTCAATACAGTGTGCTTTTGCTTTCCAAATCTGGAGTAAATGCCAGAGACCCATCATTTAGGGCCCTTCAAATTCACACAATTGTCCCTATAGAAACAGTCTGTTAATAAAGACGATCAAATTATTTCTAACACAATATCTCCCAAACGTTATATTGACATTTTCAGAGTACAGTTTCCATGGCAAAGAACTATGTCATCAGAATTTGGAGACAAGTCGTGTTATCGGAGTGAATTAGGATTTCCATATGCATGTCATACCTTACAGGTAAAATCTGGTATTAAGCCTTATTTTATACCATGTATCTTTGAGGAATTGGAGAAAAAAAATAAAGGGGGGGGGGGGGGGCGCACCCAAGTGCAAGTTAGTATTAGTAATGAATAATTTATTGATCTAACAATGACTGCAGAGACAAGGAAAGTATTGGGCGATCCTTTATTTTTGACTTGTGGTTGAAGCACTTACCTGGCCTGAGGGTCTGGGTGTAGCCTACACCAATAAGACTGGCATTGTTCACCTTTGCCTAAATACAAAAAACAAAAGGTTTGTTGTCAGAATAGTTTTCACTATAAAGTGCACTAGCTGGAAATAAAAATACCTTAGATTACCTACAATGCAGACAACTAGTTTTTTTTTTTGCAGTTATGTACATTTTTTTTTATACAACCCAGGGAACCAGATTCCCAGAGTGAACAAATATTATAACGTTAAAACTTTCTATAGGCAACACCACATTGTGATGAGCATATAGAAGGGTTTGGGAACCTCAAGTCAGCTTTCAATAGGGTAGTATCCATATAAAATGTGACTATTATCCTGCCTGAAATTAAAGACGAGGGGCAAACAAAAAGATGCAGTCCAGACCTTTTACTGCCTCCAATTTTACACCAGGTTGTTGAGCCAAGTTTCCCATTTTCACATGCATAATATAGATCTGAGAGCTTCCAGAAGGAACACCTAAATATTTTTTTGAATACCAAGGACCTACAGAAGTAAATACTACTCCTGTTGATTTTGCACATCCAAAGTTGGTTGTAGAAAGCTTTAATCAAAGAAATTTTTTTTGCAAAAAAAAAAATAAAACAAATTGTTAGTAAAAATTCCTATTACATATAAATAACATTTAAAGCAAAAAAATTTCCTGGATTTCAGTTGTAAAAAAAAAAAAAAAAAAAAAAAAAAAAAAAAAAATTCTATTAAAACCACTTGCCCTCAAGGATTTACCCCCTTCCTGACCAGGCCATTTTTTTGCTGTTCGGAACTGCGCTATTTCAACTGGTAATTGCGCGGTCATGCGATGCTGCACCCAAACAACATTTATGTCTTTTTTCACACAAACAGGGCTTTCTTTTGGTGGTATTTGATCACTTTTGCTGTTTTTTTTATTGTTTGGGCTATAAACAAAAAAGACCGAAAATTTAGAAAAAACAATATTTTTCACTTTTGGTTATAAAAAATATCCAATAAACTCAAAGTTAGTCATAAATTTAGGCTAAAATGTATTCTGCTGCATGTCTTTGGTAAAAACAAATCTCACATGTATATTAATTGGTTTGTGTTAAAGTTACAGCGTCTACAAACTATGGTATATATATTGGAGTTTACGCAGCTTTTACTTTGACTGCCCCAAATTACCCCTTTTTGGAAAGTAGACACTCCAAGGATTTTGCAGAGGCATGTTGAGTCCATGGAACATTTTATTTTTTGCCACAAATTTTTTGAATATGACTTTTTTTTTTTTTTTTCCACAAACTTGTCAGTTAAATTGTATATTGCTCACACATGACATGGGTATATGTGGAATAACACCCCAAAACACATTCTCCTACATCTGCCGAGTATGGGGGTACCACATGTGAGAGAATTTTTGGCAGCCTATCTACATACAAGCCTCCAAAATCCAGTGACCACCTCCATGCTTTCAAATGGCATATTTCCTCATATCACTTCCCCACTACCTATCACAGTTTCAGGGGCTCTAAAATTCCAGGAAAAGTACAAACACCCACCCCCCCAAAATGACCCCTTTTTGGAAAGTAGACACCCCAAGGAATTTGATAAGAGGCATGGTGCGTATTTTACAGATATCATTTTTGTCACAGGGTTTTGAAAAAGAAAAACATTTTTTGTATTCTTTCTTCATTTTCCAAAAACGTGGCAACAATTGAGATCTGCAAAACACTCACCATGCCTCTTAGCAAAGAAAAAAAAAATCTCAAATTAGTATTTTTTTTTCCCTTTAACTTTTTTTTTTAAATATTTTTATCAGAATAGTACAATATTACCATAGTAACATTGTACTACTGTGGGGGGGGGGGGGGGGGGGGGGGGGGTATGCAAAGCTTGCTGTCATGAACCCAACTCATTCATAAACTGTCATGACGGAGTTAAGTTTTGACAGCTCAGGATAGTGATCTGCGATTGGCTGGAGCTGGTCACATGGTACAGGTTCTGTAATTGGCCCCATGTATCATGTGACAGCTGTGGGCCAATCACAGCTTACTAAGAAGAGGAGCAAAGCGGTTATGAATGAGATTGATTCATAACAGCTTTGCTTACATTGTGATCATGTGATCACCGGGTCCCGTTCACCGGGATCTTCATTCCGCTGGACAGTCAGAGCGATGTACGAGTAGGTCGCTTTGCCTGTAGCTGCTGCACTGCCAAAGTACATTGCAGGCAGATGGGCGGGCAGCGGTTAAACAGTGAAAAAACAAAATAATGAATAATAATTATTAAGAATATAATTATTAAGAATACTAATATGGTATGAAAACCACACACCGCTTACACTGAAAAAGCGTTTACTACATCTATTTAGCATAAAACAAAAATGATACCCCCAAAAATAATTTTCCAGTGGTTGTGAAAATGAAATACTTAGTGTGTGCATAGGGGTTATATCTATACTGTGTAAATTAATGTGTATGTTTTTGTTTTATTTTTGGCTTTGATTACAATTTGCTCATTTCACTGTCTTTTTGGGTTTTTTTTAACCAAATTTATTTCTTTCACAAGGGAATGGACAATGCTTCAGGACAGTGTCTATTAAAGCAGTATTTAACAAAAAAAAAAGAGAAAAAAGAAGGAGTAATATAATGCTGGTTATCGATCCTTAAATTTGGTGGCTGCATTAGTTTTCTTTTAGGCTCTCCCCTCTCCTTTTTTTCACTTGGTGATACTGCCAGTAACACTTCTAGTCTTAGAAGTGCTGGCTCACATCATTGCAGCAGAGCGGCTGGAGTGCAGTGCAATTTCGCTGAGCTAAGCACAGGGATTATGCTCGGAGCTTGGTGGATTGCAGTTTTTAAAACAAACTTTATTGAGATGTCACAAACACATCTCATAAAATTCAATTACTGGCTCTGCAGCACAAACCAGTGGATTGCTTCTCACTGTGCTGCTGTCCCACCGCATCTGGTGTGAATATATCCTCTGAGCATCCCCACTGTATGTGGAGCAATGGAGACATCTTTGGACATTAGCATTTTCAGTCTGGAAAGAGGGTACTGGTAGATGCACTTGTATATTTAGATGGACTTGACTTAACAAATGAAAGCTAACACTTTTTAAAACAGTTAAGCCAGCAATATATGGATTGAAATTTGGCGGTTCCAGCAGGGACTGGCTGAATTTCATTCCATGTATTAAGATTATCAATAGACTTCTATACAACCACCCTGTCACATTTTTTCCAATGAATGAGTGCTGCTGGTTAAAGCTGTATGTATTCGTTGTATTATGATGGTGGCGAAGTCTCCCTGCTGTCAGAATACAAAACTCCCCCATCCACACTGAATGTGTGGATGGAGCAATCAGGTTGTTTTTTTTTTGTTTAGCCCACTGGTTGAACAAAAAATAATTGAATAAAGTATGGGCTGCCTTAATGAAGCGATGAATAAAGGTTTTACACAAATGAATAAATGCTGACCATTGTCAGCACCTCTGTCAGTGTTAAATGGTTTGTCTCAACACCAACTATTACAGCTTGGTCTGGTAAAGAAAAAAATAATGTATACATCACGTCTAATAACTGGTAATCTTCAATGTAATACATTTTTATATATTTTGGGTTTAATAACACTTTAAGGCTCCAGGACAGGAATAAGAGAGAATTGCCCCAAAATGAGTGGAGATCCCATATGTGACAAAAGTCAGAGGAATGGTTCTTCCCACTAAAAGATCTTCCCTCCACGCCTATCCTGATGAAAACGACTGTCCCTATAACAATGGTCACCAGGACAGATAGTGAAGATGAATCTCCAAAAAGGGTATCAGAAGTTGTAACCCACTTCAACGAACCTAAAAGAGAAAAAAAAAAAAAAAAAAAAGGCCTCCGTGGGAAACCTTAGGATGGGTGCTAACATTCTTGGACTCCTGAGCTGGCATCAACAACAAAGCCTCAAAAATAGTATGCACCCTGGGATTGCACCCAAGGCTTCACCTAATATAGTCTCTACTGTAGGCCTAGTTTAGGTTATTAAATACAAAAGTGGAAAATGAATGACAATGATGTCTTCAACATTCAGACCTGTTCCCCAATTTTTCTGCAAATCTCAAAGTAGCACACGACTGGTTGAGTTTTCTAAACTAGACATTAAGTACACCTAACTCATATTTAGGATCCTTTCACATACAATTCAGAAATACATGATGTTGCTGCATGTTTATTTTTTTATGCGTTATGCAAAGTAATGCATTACTGTCATCAGGGCAACAGCTTAAATGTAACCATCAACATATATTAGTATAACTAGAATAGTATATTCTACAAAAGTAGAAAAAATTTTTTTTTTTAAAAACTAGGATTTTTAACCACTTCCCGACCGGCCATTGTATATAAACGGCCCGACGGTGGCACTGCAGGGTCGGGTGGCCGTTTATAAAAGGCCTCCCCACACCCTGCTTGTGGGTGCTCCCCTGGAGCGCGCAGCACCACGATCCGGTGCCCGCTGTGTCCTCCGGCCACAGTGAAACACAGATCGTCGGACGGGACCTCTGTACCAAGTCCTGATCATGTGATCACTTATTGGCCAATCAGTGATCACATGCAAAGTAGTAAGCAAGATGTCACTTCTGACATCATTGCTTACTACGAGTGAAATCTGTGAATGATCACAGAGGTTACATGGTACAAGGCTATTCACAACAGCTTTGTACCATGTGACAAGCTGTGACCAATCACAGCTCACTCAGCAGTTCTCAATGGCTGCAAGAATGCAGACAGAGAGAAAGAGAAATGATTGCTTTTACATCCTATATGGGTGTAAAAGCAATCACTGTACTGCTAGGGTGCCAGTATGTAAAAAAAATAAATAAAATAAATAAATAAAATGTTTGATGAAATATTTATTTGCAAAATTTTATAAGAAAAACACTTTTTTCATTTTCATTTACGTAGCAAAAAAAAAAAAAAAAATCCCAGCGGTGAATATAAACACCACCAAAATAAAGTTTTATCTGTCTCAAAAAAATGGTAAAAAATTCATATAGGTACAGTGTTGCATGACCGCGCAATTGTCATTCAAAGTGTGATAGCGCTGAAAGCTAAAAATTGCCCTGGTCAGGAAGGGGGTAAAAGTGTCCAGACTGGAAGTGGTTAAATAAGCCTGCACAATAGCACATAAGAGGTAGAGCTGGTTTTGCTTGTAAAAACTAGTTACTAACTGGTTGCTCAGCCATGATATAACCCGTATCCCTACTACTATGCTTGTTAATGAGACCTAATGTGCCAAGTTGTTTTTCACCGCACATAGCTCTCAAAAGCAAAACACAGTTTTTCAAATATGTAGCGTTTTTTTTGGACATTAGGAGGATAGAAAAAAAATAAAAAAAAAAGTAAATCCAGCAAGCGATGGAGATATCAATTTCTTATTTCCCTGTAATACTCACAGAGATGGATGCATTAGAATCCAGCTGATATTTGGTAGCAATGCCAAAGCGGGTGCTATTGTTGCCAGCTGTCCAGGCCAAGTTAACTGCGGTCTCGAGTTTGTCACTGACTTTCTGGTAGATAGAGCCAGCAAATTCTGATCCGTCATTACTGAAGGGGGGGGAAAATTAAAAAAAAAAAATTAAAAAAAAAATAGGATCAAATATACATGCACACACACTTATATACATGCACACACACTATAAAAAAGGGGAAAAAAATATTTTTATATATATAAATTTTATTACACACATACCACTATAACAGGAAAAACACTCACACACACACACACACACACACACACACACACACGGTCTACTGATTTAGTTTAATCTTTCTACTAGCAACTAATGGGCTAAAGCACGGTCATGTACATTCTGCCCAATAACTGAGACCTCTATGGCCACTGAAGTTCCTTCACCGGACAAAGGGTAATGGCTTTAGGCAGAAGCCAGGCCCCAGTATCAAAGTGAAAACTTAATCAGAGGTGCACAGATGTTTTTTCCTGGGATTTTGCTACATCTGCTTCACAGTTTTAAAATGTGTAAACAGAATAGAGAACTACTTTATTGCCCCAACACACAGGGGAGGGGGGCTCAACTGTGTAAGCATCTTACCATCCTGAATATATTCTGATGGGGTAATATGGCAGGTCTTAGACCAGAAGTCTGGAGAGGCTAATAAAGAGAACCTGAGGATCTCTTTATAGGAGGTATTGGGGTGTCCTGACATAACCAAAGGGCTGCACATTCAAATGGCTGTCAGGCTGCAAATAAATTGAAGGAATTATAGTCAGAGGCTGTGGACATGCTACAGGTTTGGATGTAGACATGATGCATAAGAGTGAGAGACTGGGAACATGTCACATAAGGCTGGTAGATTACTGCTATTGGCCCTTTAAAAATCAATGCTCCCTCTTCAACTGCAAACTGATGGGGTCCAAGGGCCACACAAGTACTGAAGGGCTGCTTGTAATTGCAGAGACTATATGTAATAAGAGATCACTTTGATGCAAGTAAGCCTTTTATGCAGGGTGCAGTGCATCTGCAAACCTCCACTTTTTTTGTGCTTTTGTTCTGGTATGGTTGTATAGGAATGCACAGAGTGGTGGGCATAGTTATGGAAACACTCATTTTAGGGCCACTACAAAACAGCGCTAAACCCTCTATAAACCCTTTGTCCTGTGAAATGCGTAATCAACAACTTTTCTTGCAGAACTATATCTATTTCAGGTACTTCTATAGCGCCGTCAATTTACGCAGCGCTTTACATGCATATTGTACATTCAACCCTCGAGGGGCGTACAATCAAAGGTCAGAAAGTATGTGAAGGAAAAAGGCAAAAAAAAAAAGTTACACATATTGATATAAAATGAAAGTATATACTCACACATTAGTATGCAGCTGGAAGTCTCCTGTCTTGTAACCAACTGCAAAGTTATTCTTGGTCAGCTTGGATTTGGCACTGTCAAAGGTCATCTGATAACCGGCTAGCCAACCTTCATAACCTACTACCGCTGAGCCATGAATGGCAGGACCAGCAAAATCAAAGTCCACATCGCAGCCTAGGTTTACATACTCGCGTTTGTAAGCAGCCTTAACCTTACCACTCTTCTTGCTAATAAAAGAAAGCAAACATTGGAATTGGTGGGCTTTGGATCTATGCAATTTACACTAAACAAGCAAGGAAGACTTGGAGGGGCGCAAGACAGTTACTCACCCTGTGTTTGGTGAAAAGGTTGTGTCAAATGTTAGCTTAAGGCCTTTTGCAATCTGCAGAAGATATGCATAAGTTATACCACCTTCAAAGAGATTACTAAATCACCAAAAGTTTTAATTATAATACAAACTGCAATCCAACATCTAAATATACTCCATGAACTGCAGTAACTGAAACACAGTAGAGCTAACAGTAAACTGCATATTGCACATCTAGATTATGCAGGGTACTAAATGGAACCAAAAAGCCCCCAGCTAATCAGTGCAAAACACAGTAAAGCCTTTTTAAAAAGAAAGTATATGCAGGTCTACCTTCTATCAGAGATACAAAAATAAGGAATTTACTCCTCACTTTAGTATAGTGGGTGGGGCTATGCAAATTATTATTTTATGCCCCTGAGCCAATTATGGATCCAAATTGCTGGTTTATAGTACAGATACAGCCTGATATAATAGAGCCATTTATTATAACACTGCATCAAGTGGTTTGTAATTAATAGCTCCTTTATCTCATTCTTGTAAGTGGGTAATCTGTACATTCTCATAGCCACTATCAAAGCAGCTAAAATGGCTGCTTGAACCACCCTAACCCGACACAAAAAACATATAAAATATGGACATATTTAATAAAATTGAAATATCATGCATATATGGAACATTTTTCCCCATTTTCTGAGTAGTATAGGTGAACCTACACTTTAAGGTGCACCGGTACAAAAGTAATAAGGACTCATAAACCACGAATAGTGGGAAGGGCTTAGTGAGACTCCCTCTGTCATAGGAGATCACACATTTCTGCTACACTGAGAGCCCAGAATTGGTCAGTTAACCAATTAAAAAAAAATTAAAATGTATAATATAAAATATAAACAAATACCTGGTCTTCAATGGCAATTTCAGTCCCCAAGGTGTTGTCAGTGTTCCATTTCTCTGTGAAAGTCAGGCCGTATTCTCCCCATTTGTATTTGGTCTCTAAGCTGCCGTTTACTTTGCCAGAATCTGTGTTTGATGAGCCTGATGTAGTGAATTCCTGGCAGAAAATCAGACAAGGTTAGTGGTAAGCATTATTTTGATCACACTGATTATCATGTTTACATTCTATAATTCTTGCACATAGTTATCAATAATCCAATGGTGTTACTAAAAGGCCAGTAGGACATTGGTAAGGGGCTGCTACAGAGTTCAGACCATGCATTCCTCAGGTTTTTCAAACAAATAGTTTGACTTATCCCAAGTTACCAACATTTCTGGTGCTGGAAGAGCATGCCATACTTTGAGAATGATAACACTGTCAGCAAGAGTATACATTTCAACTTAAATGGAACTAAAACTGAAAGAAATGCTCACTCACCTCCTCCTTCCTGCAGTGTAGTAGTTAAATCCCTCGCCGCCCCATGTCATCTTCTTCCCAGCTATTTCCCAGTACCATGTTTTCAAGCTTTTATTGACAACTGGCAAAATCATGTCATCCATGCAATGACAGTTCATTTTTCCAATACATCTGGAGTGTGCAAAGAATACACACTGAGCTGTGCATGTGCAAGTGTCATTGCAGAAGAGACAAGAACGTGGCCTCTGCCATAAAGAGCTGCCTGCTTGCAGTTTATTACTTACCTTCAGTTCCACTTTAATTATCTGTGGTTATAGAATTGTAGCTGACCTTGAATTTTCTGGTTAGTTTGAAGATTGATTTTCTCAGACATCAGACAAAATAAAATCTTACTTACTTCAATGACTGACCAAAAAAAAAAAAGAAAAAAACCCACACATACGATTTGATATCCAAAACCTTTTGTCACCATTGACAATGTGATTTATATACAATCTTATATATTCCTTTCATGGAACTTGTTTATTTTGCATGCAATGCCATATGTTACATTTTAAAGAACGTCCTCTGGATGGAGTCCATAATGTCAATTTGGGATACAGGATTATACTGCATGTGTGTTGGACTGGATCCATAAACACTACAGCTGTATTAGACTCTGCTCAGATGATTAGAAGGCAATGTTACAACACTGTCAATAGCTGTGATTTTTACTTATTTGGGTTGTAGCAAGACAATCTGCAAGGAAATGTCAGTGGACGCTGCTGACAGATCATTTACAGTAGCAGACGAGTAACAATATTGCTACATAATAACACAGAACTGTAATGTACCAAGAATGATACAAACAAAACAATCTCAACAGCTCAAGGAGATTTAGTTTAATCTGGGCTATTCTACCCATCATCTAGAAATCTGAAAACTCAGGAGCGTGATTGGCCCAAAGCGTTATTTCCTTCACTTTGCCAATTGTAAATTTCATTACGATGTTTGGAATCAAGTAAGAATAATTATTTTGTAAACAAGAAAGTATACATTCAGTAGAGAGAGGTATATTAAATATATATATATATATATATATATATATATATATATATACATATACACACACACACACACACACACACACACACACACACACACACACACACACATATATATATACATACACGCATATACAGTTGTGTTCAAAATAATAGCAGTGAATTGGAAAAAGTGGATAAAGCTCAAAATCCTTCTAATAGCTTTTATTTCCATACACACAAAATGCATTGGGAACACTACACATTCTATTCCAAATCAAAACATGAAGAAAAATATATCAAATTTGTGTTGTTCCTCTAAAAAAATAGCAGTGTTTGTATTCTTCTTTACAAACTCAAACATTCACTATATAAACTGAAAAATGTTTGAAGATTTTGCTTTCCTTTGAATCACTTAATTTTTAGTTGTATAAGCACTGTTTCTGAGAACTGCTGTACATCTGTGTTGCATGGAGTCAACCAACCTCTGGCACCTGTGAACAGGTATTCCAGCCCAGGATGATTGGACTACATTCCACAGTTCTTCTCTATTTCTTGGTTTTGCCTCAGAAACTGCATTTTTGATGTCACCCCACAAGTTTTCTATTGGATTAAGATCCGGGGATTGGGCTGGCCACTCCATAACGTCAATCTTGTTGGTCTGGAACCAAGATGTTGCATGTTTACTGGTGTGTTTGGGGTCGTTGTCTTGTTGGAACACCCATTTCAAGGGCATTTCCTCTTCAGCATAAGGCAGCATGACCTCTTCAAGTATTCTGATGTATTCAAACTGATCCATGATCCCTGGTAAGCGATAAATAGGCCCAACACCGTAGTATGAAAAACATCCCCATATCATGATGCTTGCTCAAAAATGCTTCACTGTCTTTACAGTGTACTGTGTCTTGAATTCAGTGTTTGGGGGTCGTCTGACAAACTGTCTCCGGCCACTAGACCCAAAAAGAACAATCTTACTTTCATCAGTCCACAAAATGTTGCGCCATTTCTCTTTAGGCCAGTCAATGAGCTCTTTGGCAAATTGTAACCTCGTCAGCATGTCTTTTTTTCAACAGTGGGACTTTGCGGGGGCTTCTTGCAGATAGCTTGGCTTCACATAGGCGTCTTCTAATTGTAACAGTACTCACAGGTAACTTTAGACCAGTGGTTCTTCTTTGATCTTCCCTGAGCTGATTGTTGGCTGAGTCCTTGCCATTTTGGCTATTCTTCTATCCATTCGAATGGTAGTATTTTTCGCTTTTACTTCCACGTCTTTCAGGTTTTGGTTGCCATTTTTCGATCGAACCATCTGCGATCATTTTAGCAGAGGTGAGCAGCCTATCATTTTCTGCACTTCTTCATTATATGTTTTTTGTTTTTGTGTGAAAATCATGTTTTAATGGTTTTGTTCTTTACGGTTTTGTTCCATTTTGTGCACCTATGTATAAATATATACCTATGTTTTGAATTTTAAAAATCAAGGTACACTGTTCTTGCTATGAACAATGTCTGGAACAACCTAAGAACCACTTTTAGACCTCAGAATTTCAGAGAGAAATGCACTGTAACCAGCATGTACATCATTCGAATGGTAGCTGCCTTTCTTCCACAAATAAGGGCAATTTTAATTGCGACCTGTTTTAGCTGAGCAGCCTATCCTTTTGCACTTCTTTATATAGAACTCCACACTCTCCAATCAATTTTTAATCAAGCCCCTTTCTTCTGAATTCTGGATTCAACCTATTACTCAGAATTTCAGAGAGAAATGCACTGTAACCAGCATGTACAACATTTGCTGCCTTCCTTCCTCAAATAAGGGCAATAATTGCCACCTGTTTTTCAAAGAATGAATGACTCACTAATAGAACTCCACACTGCTATTATTTTGAACATGCCCCTTTCAATATGATTCAATTACACAGAATCAGCAGTATGATCAGACTGTTGGGTCTGTTGGATTTCTATTACTCTACTATACTGCTAGTAAATTATTTGCCATGTAGAAATATAACACAAAAACAGTGATTGATCAGGTGTGTGTGTGTGTGTGTGTGTGTGTGTGTGTGTGAACATATGTGTGTGGTATATATATATATATATATATATATATATGCAATCACATTCAAAATCATGTTGAATAGGAGTCAGTACACACCTGCCATCATTTAAAGTGCCTCTGATTAACCCCAAATAAACTTCAGCTGTTCTAGTAGGTCTTTCCTGACATTTTCTTAGTTGCATCCTACAGCAAAAGCCATGGTCCACAGAGAGCTTCCAAAGCATCAGAGCAATCTCATTGTCAAAAGGTATCAGTCAAGAGAAGGGTACAAAAGAGCTTCCAAGGCATTAGGTATACCATGGAACACAGTGAAGACCGTCATCAAGTGAAGAAAATATGGTGCAACAGTGAA